GAAGGACAAAAAAAGCGGCTGAACAAACCAAACAAAAACAGGGCCGGCCGCGCTCGTAACTCTCTGCGCAGCAGCAGCGCGCGCGTGCAGTACGTTCGTCCTCACGCACGCCGGCGGCGGCCTGCCCGTGTGTTTTTCGCGCACGCCAACGCAGCTCACGAAGCAGATACGCGAAGGGGCGAGAACGCGGGCCCTGCAGGCCCGCACACACGACAGCTGGGCTCACACACGCACATACACACACGCGTGCGCGAGCGAGCGCACACATAACGCCGGCCGGTTTTGTTGCTCCTGCCGCAAGCGGCTGCGGGCCGCTTCTTCCTGGAAACTCTACGCGGCGGCCCCGAATCGCGGTGAAAGCGCCACGGTGCAGCTCGGAGGAAGAGTTGGCCCCGAAAACGAAAAGAGCGCCAGCAGGCGCTTTCTCACTACAACAAAAAAATATCCCGCAACTCCACGTTCCTCAAGAGCGGGCGACCCGCGTTTTTACCCAACGCCGTCTGCCGCCTTGGCCCACTTCCGGTCTGCGTTTGGTTCCTAATTGTTTACGTATCATGCAGTTATCGCGCGTTTCAAATATAGTCCCGACAGTGTTATAAGCGGGCATTTCTCATATAAAGTGAGGACATTTTGTCTCGCACACGCTGCGAAACCTAACGGGGCCTTCATGTGCGCTTTGCTTAGGCTGATGACATTCTTTCTCTATCCGCTGTTGACAGCGGAAAAATAGCCGGTCACAAAATGCCGACGCGTAGCACTGTCAATGCCGACAGATCGTTCCCAAAGACGCGTTTGCTCGCGCTCAAAAAAAAAAAAAAAAAAAAAAAAAGAAACAAGAGCGTCTCGAACAAAAAAGGTCACACAAAGGCCCCCTTTCGAAACCTGGAGTCTAGTTCAGGATTGGTCTGGCGAGCTCGTAGTTTTAAGCTTCCTCTCAGTGGTGGAACCGACCTGAAAAGTTGTTCTCTTATAGTTCCTTTTCGACGTTATCATCCCCGGAAAACACGAGATGTGAATTTCGGTAGATTGACTAGTCGTGTCATCGCACATGTCACGCGTATAGCGCTGAAGCGGGCGCTTTGGGCGCTGGCAGATCTACAGTGTATACCGTCAAACTCGTACGTAAAGCTCGTACAAACACCAGGACAGACATTAAAAGACGGCGAATGGCGATGAGCCCGCATAACTGCAATCAATGGCAAATTTCGGCGTATGACGTCGATAACGCGTACTCGAACGGAGGGAAGCAGGATCTCCGCGAGCCCAATCTTCTTTTACGAAGCACTATAAACCGCCGCGAGCTCTTCGTTGCCGCAACACCTCGGCGCGCCGACGCGCGATGTTGACACCTCGGCCGTGACGAGAGCGGACGCGCTCTCACTCCCCGAGGTCGCGGTGACAGTCCGCCGGCGTTTCTTTGCCGGGAAAAGGGAGCTGACGAAGAATTGCGAAACGACAACACATTCCGCCTGGTAGCTCGAGGCACAGACCGGACTTCAGTGCCGTCTAAACTAGAGTTCCTGTATATGCTACCTACGGTAGCAGAGTTGCGCATTCAGCCTCGGCGCGTGGCCGTAAAGCCGGCTTTCCCGCGCGAGATGGATGCTTTGCTCCTCACGTGACTAAATTTGGCGAATAGCGGCGCCGCGCGCGCCGCCGCGCATGGAAAACAGGAGAGGAGGAAAAGGAGGCGGAAAGCAGGGAAACATACGCCGGGGCAAGAGAAACGTCGGCGGAGCGACCGTAAAGGTGGCTTTCTTGCACGCCGACGGATGCTTTGCTCCTCACGTGATGGATCTCGGCGAATAGCGGCGTGGCGGCGCGGGGAAAACAAATGCGCAACTCTGGCTCCCGTAGGGAGCCTATACAGGAACTCTAGTCTAAACCGCAGGAGAGCGACGCCACCGTCCAATATATGAACTTCTAAAGGAAATCCCCCGAGGCAGAAACATTCGACTTGTCTTCGCGTATGGCTGCGTTTCTATGGATGCGGCGGACAAGCAATTAAATCCAAATTTGGCGACTACGATTGGGTATGAAAGAGAAGATGATAGGGTACTCGTGATTGGTCCTCTCTCAATTCGATGCACTTCTCTCGCGTCCCTTGAGCACCCATTGGACACGACAGCTGCGTCCGAGGTTCGGCGAAAACTTTGACCCAATCACGCGCTTCTTGCTCAAGAAATGGCGGCTGCCAGCGTCACTTGAGGGGGCTTCGAAAAGGATCTTTTCCGCAGCAGACAGGTGGGCATGCTCCAACGGTTTCCACTCTCCAGCAGGCGAAGATAGCGCGTGCAAAATGCGATTACTGAGATGGTCCATGAGGCTAAATAAACGGGGAGACGATCAAGTGTTCCCTAGAATGCTGCGACGATTCGAGGCATGCCTGATGTTGTTGTTTTGTTGCGTCCGTCCGTCTGAGGCGTGTCGAGAGAGTGAACGGACGATTCGATGTTTACGCCGACCGCAGAGGCCGGCGGCTCGCACGTCGCCTTGACACGGAAAGTTGCCTGTGGGTCTGGAAGGTTCCGTGCGACGGTCCGAACAAAGAAGAAGAAAAAGCGCGAGTGAGGGGCGGTGTCAGTTGTCGTGCGTGCGCGTCCCAGCGGGAAAGCCGAGTGCCGCGCGGTTGCAGTAGCGGCCACGCCGCCGGCGCGACGCGACAGAGACGAATTGGAGGAAGACAAAAGAGCCCCCTTTGCAGGAAGGTTCCTTGGTCACGCGCCTGCCTCTACCTCGCGCGGTACGGGAAGGGATTGCGTGTTATTTGAAGACGGGCATTCCGTCGTTGGGATTCCTCTGCAGCACGTCTTCTCGAAAACGTTTGCTCACGCTTCTATAGCGCGCACAGCTGGCGCGATCGTGGGGGGCGAGATGACGATATGCCTGCCACGAGGCGTCCAGTTTCAAAGACCCTTTTTTCGCGGGCGTCGAGGATGCGATCAATTTCAGTCGCGCCGCCCACTTTACAGATGTAGCTAACCGCTTGTCGCTTTCGAATTGCGGCCTAGTTCCACTTCACGTTGGTCTCACTTCAGGGACTAAGACCAACAACCGACAAAACGCGTGCAGCGAACACACGAAGATATCTTGGGCAGGCTTCAAATCTCTCGCTACTCGTGAAGTATCGCAAGCCTGACAAAGACGCCTCGGCGTGCATGCTCCAGGTGTTTGGGGTTTCTCGGTGTTGGACTGTTGGTTGTTCCTGCTTGTCGCTGAAGTGTAACTAGGCTTTACCAGTATTGTTAGAAATCTGGGGCGACCGCTCTAACGGTGCAAAGGAAACCTGGCGAAAACTTTCTGTCAACAGGCGCTTAACCACCGAGCAGACAGTTATGGCCGGAATTAAACACTTATTCCAGATGAGAAAATCATTGAAAAAAAAAAAAAAAAAAATTCCGTGCATGAACAGAAGCTAGTTTGGTTTTCGGTTATATACTTCCAAACAAATTACGCGAATACGGGCAAGCCAGGTTCGTTCCTTTCCTGGATTCAAGTGTGTTACATGGTGTGCTATTTACATCAAGAGCGGTAAGGTCCGGAACAGTAGTACAAGAGCTGCGAGACCGGCGAACATGTTGCTAGCACGAGCAGCGACATGTCCGCACTAGAGCCACTAAAGCGCGAATCGCTTTCTTATGATAGGACTTCGTGGTCTCTAACTATAGTCGAAGACGACCAAGTCCCATCACAACGAAGTGATTACTCCAAACATTACGCCAACAGCCCCCCAAACATAAAAGTGTCGTCGTCCTCTTCTTGGAACTCTCCGGCGCGACATCTTTTCCCGAACACGTCTGGGTATGTCGACGTCCTCTTTCTTTTTCGCCGTCTCCGATCTGCGGGGCATCCTTCGAAGAAGAGCTTTCGTGCTGCCCGGCAGGACTGCCCTCGGGGAAACGGGGTCGTTCGGCACACGCGCTCGCTCCCCGCTCAGCCGGCTCTGCTGCTCGTTATGGGGCGAGCCTCGGCTCGGCCGCCGCTGATTGCAGGGCCTGCTGCCGACGCGCGATTCCCTGGGGCGACGTCGGGACGGGTACCCGAGAAGACAAGGGAAGGCCTGCGCCGTATGTGCCGCTTGGGAGCGTTTGGGGAACCACTAACGATGACGTCATGCGCAGGCCTTGTCTTCTAGGTGGTTCTGGTACGTGACTGACTGTGTCGCGCCTTCTGCTACTGCCGCGTCGGCTCGGAGGGGGGCGCCGGCGCGCGATAGGCCGCAGCGGGTCGGTCGGGGCGTCGGGTCCGCCGGCCAGATTGCCGTCACGGCATCCAGGCCGGCGTCCGACACGGCGACTAGGAGCGTCACGTCCTTTTTTTCCCCCTTCTTTTTGTGGGTTGTGTGTTGCTCGAGTTTGGATAGTCAGTCAGGTCGTTTCGCTAACGTGCAGGGTACAATCTGCCTTCTGCGAGAGTCATTACCGTTCTCTCGAGCGGTCCCGAATCGAGCGGTTCCACGACTCGAGGACATAAACACAAAGAAGACGAAGCAAAATTTTTGATAGGGTTCGATGGAAGGACGTTGGCCGAGTGTGGGTGAAGAGGGGGGTTGGGGGGGGGGGGGGGTCGTGTCGCGATGAAGTCTTATTTTCTTTCTTTTATAGGCAATTGATTAAATTAAGCTGCAAATATAATTTATAAATAATGTGCCGTGTTATCCTCTTCGGCGGTTACAAGCGGCGTAGATCCGCCCAGAATGTCACAAATCACACACACACGAGCGGAGTGCTGAACGCGGGTAGGTTTTTGAATGCTAAGGTACAACGACACTTTGAACCTGAACTGAGACAGAGTAGGGTTTTGGAACGAGGTGCGTGCTTCTGTATCTGCATCGACACGCTGTACAGTATACTCGCCGACTTTTAGTCCTTCGACGGTTGTTTTGACAAGTTAAATAATTTCAACAAAATCTTCCATCCGCAAAAGAAAAAAAAAAAAGTTACGTTAGCCCGCGTGCGTTTTCTTCCTGTCTAACGGAGTCATTGGTTTTGGATGTGCAGGATCTCGCCTGGTGCTGCCTCGAGTCGAGCGAAGGAGGCTCGGTGGAGTCGCGTGACAAGAACGGTGTGACCCCGCTCCACGAAGCGGCCTCCCGCGGTCGCCTGCGCGTCGCCCGTGCTCTGCTCCAGTGCGGCGCGGACCCGGACTCGGCTGCCCTGAACGGACGACGGTGAGCACACCAACTTGCCTCCATCCCAAGACATCTTGTCCGGTGGCGTTTACTATCCACCAGTCGTCTCGTCTCGAGTCACGGAAAGCTTATGAATCTCGGAGCGTGGCCTGGCCATATCAGTATCACCCCGCAGCCAATGATAATGGAAGACCAATGAACCAATCACGATGCAAGAAGCGTGAACGATATGCGGACAGCCAGTCGTCTGTTTCTTGCTCAGGAGTTGCGATGACGTCACAGCGACTCCGAGCTCTGATTGGCTCTGATTCAAAGGATAGCGGGTAGAGCACGATGCTATATATGCCTCAAGGTCTACCCACTATTATGTTTCTTCTTTCAATTAGCCAATAAGAGCTCGGGATTCTTTCATCGTCGCTACCCCTGTGCAAGGAGCAGATGACACTTGCGCTCGCAACAGCACGTCCTCCATTTCCTGCGCTGTTTAGAAACAAGTCCGCGTGGAGGGAAGGGTCAGCGCATGCGCTGAGGCGACGGCAGCGCTCTACCGGAGTGCCGTGACGTCAGAACTCCGGGTTCAAACAAACGGGATTCAACGAGAGCCGGAATTTCTCGGAACTGTTTCCGGCGAAATGGCTCCCGAGAAGAGGTTTCCGCGTTACTGTCCCTGGCACGGCTTCGCTTAGCGCGGGCCTTGGCAGAAGGAAACAGGAACGAGGGCGCGCGCGAGCTGTATACCAAGGCTGGACTCCGGTTCGGGTCGACCATCGTAATTGCGGAGCCGCCGCTATCTGCACTTTTCGCGAGGTGTCGCGGCGCTTCTTTTGTGGCCTGTACGATAAGAATGGTGGCCCTGACTATATAACCGCTTAGCGCGAGAGTACTTGAGACTGTGCCTACCGTCAACATCCGGATCGAAAAATAAATTTGACGTTCCTGCTTAGACAAGACGAGGTCGGTCCACCTTCTGAGGTGCGACTGTATTCTTTACGCTGTGGATGCAAAGCTTTAGTCAGTGCGATAGCACCGCTAGGCTCTTTGACGTGCGTAAAGCAGTAACGATACAGGACCGCACGTCGGTACGATGCTCATCCAGAGTGAAAGGGGCTGACGTAGCTTTTGAACCCGGGATGGCTAGATTCTGCAACGCGTGCTTTTGCTCCACATGCACCTAGAGCTGCAGTGCGCTACCACGCTCGGCCACCGACCCTTTCGTCAGAATCCGGAACCACTTGGAGGCCACTTCCAGTACAAATTAACCGTCAAACCGTTAATGTATACCGGCCGCGCACGTATGCACTCAGCCTGTTGCACGCTGACGCCTCAAACGCCGCCGCCGCGGCCGAGAAAACTCGATTTGCGAGTACGGCACCGCGTCGCGCGAACGCGGCCCCCTTTGGTCGTGCCGCCGCACGCTGCATCCGGAAGGCCGACGGCATCCCGCTGCCGCCTCCACCGCCGCCGGACGCGCGAGGATATCGGCGGCCTTCACTTCCGGTCGCCGCGGCCGCGCACCGGAAACATCAGCGTAGGCACGCGAACGAGCCCCCGCCGCGTGTCCGTCCCTGCACGCCGACGGCGCCGGCATAGCGCGATACCGCCGCCGTTCGCGGTGCCGCCTGCTTCCCGAAGGAGGCCGTCGCTTCCCTTCCCGTCCCGCTTTTTGGCCCCCGAGCGTACGTTAGAGAGCCTAGATAGAAGAGAGCGAGCAACCCAAACCTTGGAGAGCGTTCGCACTCCACCCTTTTAGAAATAACTGGCGCCGCCTGGCAGAAACCGGGCTTCGAGGAGTTTCTGAAATGGCCCATAGAACGGGGAGACACTTCTTGCGCGGATGAGACGCGAGTGTGCAACGTTGTCGCGTAGCGAAGGGGGAAAAGCAGGCGGAAAGGCGGAGACGCTTGCTTGCCGGTCAACGCTTTCGTCATCTTCCCTCGCTCGACCAGTTGAGAACACTCTGAAATCTAGGCACACGAGCGTGCGTCGACGCCGACCGCGACGACGAACGATGGCGCCGTCCCGGCAGAGTGTGCACGCGACGGCTGGTGTGTTTTGTTGTGTTTTTCTTTCCCGAGTGTTTCGCAACGCCGCGCGTGTTTTTTTGCGCGGTGGCTGCTCCGCCGTGCCGCGCGTGCGAGCGAGAGGAGGAGGTCGCTTTTGACGAGTTGGCGGCTCGTTTCCTCTCCGCTGCGTTGCATTTTTTTTTTTTTTTTTTACAAGGAATCGGCGTTTTTACGCCAGCGCCGGTCGTGACGTGGAACCAACGCGACTGCTGCCTAGCGGCGGAGTTGAACGATGATAAGGGTGGTGGTATCTTCTAACGCCAAACGTAGTCCGCCTTAATATGAAAAACAGGTGATATTTCGGAGGCACAAAATCATTTCACTGCCATTATGGCGATTCACCGTCACGGCAGGCAGAGCGCCTCGAAAGCGATGACCAACGGTTAGGGTTGCACGGATGCGGCCTAAGCGCACTGCGAATCGAGAGGTGACCAATCGCGCGAAGGCGACCCTCTTCTTTTCTACCCAGTCATCGCCAAACCTCGGACTCTCTGCGCTATTCTGTGACATCCATGTAAACGCAGCCCACCAGGGTATCTTAGTACAATCAAATTGTAATTACTGTCCGCAACCCTCCTTTCGCTGCTTTCGAAAAAAAAAAAGTTTCAAGATTTTCTTTTACTTTGGGTAGGAGAGTAACCCAAAGACTTGGATGGATTCAAAGTGTCGACCCGACTGAGACAGCATTCTGTGTGACGTACTAGCTTTTACTGACGTGGTAACATACTCCACGAGTGGTGGAGTTGGTTCGTCGCCCGGCGCAGCGAAGACGAGCCAGCTTTCACAACCGCGCTCAAATACGCGGAAAGAGCACTCGGCAGCGCGGCTCTTGGCGCCTCGCTGCGAAGAAGGAATAGCAGAAAGCGGCGACGCGGGCTGCGCAATCTCGGCCCAAGTGCCGTGCCGCTCTCTCGCACGAACGGTACCGCGAAGCCGTAAAAACGCGCCTGGGGATGATGACGGCGGCTGCGGTCCCGGCCCCGCCGAACGACCTCGGCGGCCTGATGTTTCCACGCTTCTGCCGCCTGCTGCTGCTGCTGCTGCTGTTGCCAGACTCCGTTTCACGCCTAAGCTGACTGTGCGGTGGAAGCTACGGGCTCGCCTGGCCAGTCAACCGCCTTCCTTACATCATCTGACCCCGCCTTCTGCACGCGGGTGTGAGCGGGGCAGCCTGATCACGTGGCCAAAGGCAGACGTACGATTGGTCCGACGAGAAGAAAGCTTTCACCGTGCTATCAGCTTCAGGGGTGAAACGGAGTATACCGCCGCGCGTTTCTGGCTCGACAGAGCCGAGTCTCTGATCCAGGCTGAAAAAGAAAACAAAACGAGAAAAAGAAACACGCGAAGGGTGGCAAAAGCGGCGGTCGTTTCCGGTCTCGCCTCGGGAGCGGGAGGAGAGACCCTTGGAGTCGGCACCGGAGCGGACTTCCGGTCATGCGAGATTCGTCGGAGAAAGCTTCGCGTGGAATGCTCGCGACTGTCGTGTGGGTTCCTTCGGCCGTGGCGACGCGACGCTTCTGGCTGACGGGATGGGATGACGCTCGCCGGCGGATGACTGGAATCCAATTTGATTTTTTTTTACATTAGGATGGAATGAAATGACCTAAACCCTACCTTGCTTAAAAATAAAAATATCAAAATGCCGCTTCATTACCCACGAAGTGGTTGAGGCACCGAAGTTCAGAACTAGTGCGCCCAGATGGTCATGACACGACGAACAAAAAAATATTTTCCCTTTTTTTCCCCTTCAGATAACATGGTACAACGCTTCGTTGGGATTTATCTAATGCTGTCTATTGGGATGACTACCACCCCAGGTTCAATTTCTTCCTCGCTTCAATTGGAACTAGAGGGACGTTTATTTCGTTCATAATATTCGTAACGTATTTGGGACATTTCTCTGCGAAAACATTAACAACACGAGGATAACATTTTTGTTGGATGGTCCGCGTGATTCTGCGCAGTCGGAAGTCATCAAATGCACTCGTACTTTGATTTCGTGTGTGAAGTAAAAATATAAAACTATACTTTATTTTTTTAATTTGCTGCGTGCCACATTAAAACAGCAAATTTAAGCTCGCCTTAAGCAAAATTTGGTAGCGGGTTGGGAACCGCGAGGCACACGTCTCCGTGTCAGCGTACCGATCTCGATCATAAAACGACCCTCACGGCGTCTATAAACTAACCAGAAACATGGACGTCGCAAGTTTCAAGGACGTCGCTGTTCAGCCAGCGTACCACCGCGGAGCCGGAAGCAGACAATCGCTTTGCCCAAAATCTCGCTCCGTAATCGATCCTCCAGCGCGCTTCGACTCGAGAAACTCCCACTCGCGATCCCCGCCGAAAGAAGGAAATTCCCTCCGAACCCGACAGCGCGTTGATTAGGTTTGGACGCTCCGCCCGCCGTGCGAACCGACGATCCATTCCCCCCTTTGGCGAAAAAAAAAAAAGAATCCTCAGAACACACATTACCACTCCGACGAACTCCTTCCAAAGAAACCTGCCCCCCTTCTCCAGCCAGGGGTTCCCATTCATCCCGGCAGGGGGCGCGCACACAGAGTCTAAGCACGTTCGGCGGCCTCGCGAAATTTAATAACGCCCTCAAGATCCGTCGCTGTGCGCGGACGAGACACGGCCCGGCTCTCCTCCTTTCCAACACCGACTCCACGCCGTCTTCCGGCGGGCAGGAAACGCTGCAGGCGGCGGCAGCGGCGGCGGCTCCGCGGGGACAACAGCGGAGCGGAACTGAATTAGGAGGAAGGGAGGACTCTTCCTGACGCCGACGAAACGCGCGCTCAGGGACGCCAAAAGCGCTTCTTCATCGCGTGGCAAACAGCGAAGCCATACGTACGAATCACAACAGAGGAGCGACCGACCTGACGAAGGACAGCTCTAGAGTGCGCTCGTTGCGATATGCAGTGATTTCAATGTATACAAAATATGAATAAAGATTATTATTATTATTGTTATTATGGC